AACTAAAGGCGGCTTACTAAAATGATCGTGCGTTTACAAAGTGCGAGAACGCAGGGAAAAAAGGCACGTCGCTTAAATTACGGCGGGCATTTTCGTCGAAACGTTAAACGGGTCCAATAGCTAAATCACGTTAATCGTACGGGACACGACTAAACGGGTGCTATCTTAAGAGGAAGCCCCCGCGCGACGGCCGAGAGAAGTGGCGAACTCGTCCTCGACGCTAAATGGGACATGTTTTCAATTATGCGTGAAATGAAGGCGGCGATGCGTGAGTCTGCTTGCCGACAGCCAGAGCAAACCCACGTATGACACATTGAGCCCAGCGTGCGTACATACACGCTTCACTCGTCGAAACAGCTTAAAATGTCCGACGCTGTCGTCTGAATAATCACCAAAACGAATGTAATCGGCTTTTAATTGCGCATGGTTTTTAATCACGGTCATTTGTAAAACTCGATTTATACCGTGAAATCTCATTTCTAGGAACACAGAGGAAGTTTCGTAACACTTTATGTAATTTGCTCTTTAAATAAATAAAACCTTTGACCAACACATTCAATTTAAAGGAAAATATGACATTATTTGGCAAAATGTTATTACGATGATTGAAATTCATAAAATTGGACAAAGAGATGATTTTATCATAAATTTTCGATTACACGCCGGAGTTCAATTGCTCTCTGAATTATCGATTATTAATACACTAGTCTACAAAAATATTCGGACACTCGAAGGAGAGAAAAATTGTGAAAATTCAAACGTCTGTAAAAACATTGACGATTAAATCCACGACGATATTAAGGATTGAAGTTTCACCTTTACAACGATTTTTTTTCTGCTGTGAAATTTTGAGAACTTTAAATACTAAACAAAAATTTGACAAAATATCAAGAGTCTTCAAATTTTTTTAACTTTCTCACATTCAAAGTTCGATAAAACAGCGAAAGAAAAATTGTACATCAAGTTTCAAGTGGTCGTTTTAAAGGGAAAACTTCAATCTTTAATATCGTGGTGGATTTAGTCGTTAGTAAAAGTCATTGTTGCACGATTTTTCTTCACAAAGTTGTAACAGTTCAAATTATCGACGAATTTTCGTCGAGCGTTCGAATACATTCGCTTACCATACAATGTCATTATAGTATATACTATGGTAATTGGTGTAGCATAGTAATAAAGGTTTACCATACACACACGCGCTATGATTACGCTCACTTAGATAGACACGGCACGAAAAGCGAGGAAGAAGCTCGTCGTGGTTAACGCTCGCGGCGCATGGTAATCACGAACTCGATTGATTAGCCGACAAAGTCGAGCCGACAAATTAGAGGAATGCCATCTACGTTCCTGGCTGGCTCCCCCTCGTCAAACCACATATGCATACACGCTTCTGTTCGGTGGACGAAGTGGAAAGATTATCTGATTCGACGTGTATTTATGGTGACGTCTCTTCGTTCACGGTACTTTCTGTGTCTACACGTTCTACGGTCGACATCTGCGAAACTTTTCGTTCATTTTTTTTCTTACTGATTATTGTCGAAATTCTCTGATGTTGTAGCAAATCGAATAAACTACTTTCTTTTTAACTCATGAACATTTTCTTACTTGTTTTTTCTTTTTGCATTTCTTGTTCACCTTGACGAAATTGTACTGATGACAGTTTGGCCATTCACGGAAACTGAAACAGGGTTACGCAATTAAAGCTCTATCCTTCGTCTCTTCCGCTTTGTTAATAAATCAACGAAGAAACGGAAGCGCGTTAATCTCCGCGTTTACTTAAACGGAGCACAGATGGTTCGGTCGGCTAATTAAGTTTTTTCTCATCGCAAGTTATTACACTGGCAGGGAGAAGGATATGTGTACGGTGTCGGTCGGTGTACTTCAAAGCGATCGGCAGTCGCATTCAGATGCAAGGGACAAGTCGAACAGCCTCGACTCCCAGAGAGTTACAGAGACATACTTTGTACGAGATAATCTTTCTCGTTGTCGTCCCTCTCGATCTGCTGCTCTTTCTTATTTTAGCTAACAACCAGCAGAGGACACGGGCAGACACTCGCGCAGATATGTAACGTCTTTCGTTAATTTAATATAAAGGTAAAGTAAAAGTGACTGCGCGCGACGAATAGTAAGAATCCCCGACACTGAAATATTTTTAACCGAGGGCAATTCTATCTAAAATTGACGACTAGATACGAGATGTGAGATTATTAAAAAAAAAAAAAAAATATCCCATGACTTTGAAATCTGTATTCAAATTGGGACATAATTCTGGGTCTGTAAAATTTTGCAACGGAGAGATTGATTTGTTGTTTAATTAAATATGACAGAAGGATAGAAAATAAGAGGAAGAGTGAAAGTGAAGGGTATTGGAATCGAGTAAAAATAGTGGGGTGAATATCCGGCTGTCCGAAACAAGCTTAAATACGTCTCGAAAATATTCTATGGCGCAACGGGCGAATGGTACAAAGGATTCGGCGGAAACGTCGGGTATACGACTGAATCCTACAAATAATCCCGTCGAAGCGTCGCCACGCTTCGATGGACACATAAATGCCGAGCCCGTTCGAGCATGAGTTTCTTGCGTCTCGAATCGCCCACGCTCATCTCGTTGCCACTCCGTTATCGCGAGGGGATCATCACGAAATTTTACAACGACCGAAACGGAGAATCCATGATCTTTGGTACGAGTGCATTCGTAAATTTTTTACGATCGAAAATTTCGAGGAAGACGAATTTCCGAGGAAACAGAGAAAGTGAAAAGTGAGATAGACGGTATGTCGTTGCGAGGAAGAAAAATATATCGTTACGTTAACATTTACGAAATGAATTCGGAGATTGGAATCGTGTAACAAAAACTTTCCGGAAAAAAAAAGAAGGTACGTGTAAAATTCAAAATGGGATTCGATATGTGTGTTCGAGAGTGTTGGTGCGTGTGAGACGTGTGAAAAAAAAAAAGGTGACGGTGAAATCGCGTACAACGGGAATGCATGCGCGTTAGGCGAACTGAGAGAAGGGTCTAGGAATAGGGAATCCATGAAAGTATTAAAATGCAAGGGGCATAAAATATATTTGAAAGTTAAATACGAGTCAAGTGGCGCCTCGATAGGGTGTAACCAGACGCGAAGTAGTCGGGGGCCCCTTCCATCCCTCTTGTATTCATTGTGTTTCGATGGTTTTCGCAACTTCTCTTTGCCTTTCGTGTTGCGCACGAGAACATTCTCTTGCGCTGTCAAAAGCCAATATCCTTCTTGTGAAAATAATTGCCGATAACCTTATAAACTGAGCGCATTGATGCAACGATAAACAAAAATAAATAAATAAATAAAATCAATTATTAGTACTTAAGATACTTTTAAATTCATACTTTGAAACAGGTGTCACCTATCACATCAATTGCCAAGTACCAAACCTTTCTTATTCCAAGCACCAAACAGAGAACCGCTATTTGGAGTGCCGATCGAAAATCTGTGGCCGTAATCTTCGAGATCGTTGACCGCTGAAACATACACTCTCGAGATTTTTTTCACTTCTGTCAACGACGGAGGAGCATCGGCGGTGTATCCTTCTCGAACAGGGCGTACAATGGCCGTGCGATTCCCGAGGATTCTCCCTGGCTCGTGCACAAGGCAGAGAGGGAAAGAGGGGCAGGGGGCTGCTATTGTTCCGGTGTAGCCTTAATGCGCGCCGTTGTAAACAGCGTTACAATGGAATAACTTCGTTAGCATAATCGCGTCACAGAGTCGCCTGGCGCCCCCTGCCTCTCCCGCTCCACTGCACCCCTTTTGGATTTTACGGGTGGTTTCCCTCCGGACAGGCTCGTGGGCGGACCCGATCCGATCCGCTGCCGCGTTTAACCGTCGCTCCGGTATTATTCATTGTCGCGATTGAATCGTTTATCTCGTCGTTGCTCGGCTGACCGCGCGACGGCATCGTCTACACGACATCGACAACACGAATCTCTAGATTTAGCGCAACGATTCCGTTGCTAAATGAGCCTAAATGATCCATTTGCGTTTGAATGCCGAACACATCTCAGATGATTTGCGAAGATTTCGGTCGTACGAATTGCTTGCAAGGACGTCTTCGTATTTAGAGAAATATATATAATATTTCTTCGTTTATCTTTTGCTCTTGTAGAGACATTTAAGAAATCCGAATATCCGCCAATTTTCGTCTCCTTCGTGGTTCACTCATCGAACAAAACGTTTAAACGTGTTTTCTGAAATAGAACAGAAATTCCTTTTGAAAAAAAAAAGGATGAATTTCACGCATGAGACTTCACCTGACTCGGTTTCTTTATTGAAAGATCAAAAGAAACACTGCGAGATATGAACCACTTTCAGATCTATTTAAAAACCAGCCCAGATATTTCGTCTGTCAATCCGTCGACGTTGATCGGCAAATTATAATCGTCATGGACTATAGGCAAGCGCGGAGATAATTCGCACAGCGTTTTCCCAGTAATTACGGTAGATCTCTCGTCAGACCGCGGCGATATCGAATTAATTCTACGCGCGATCCCGCCGACGTACATGACATTTTTCGCCCTCCAGTCTTCGTTTGCGTTTACAATGGAAATGTTAAGCGAGTCGTGGATTCGCAACGCTCGTCACTCTTGTTCGCCGCCCGACAAAGCGGTTCTCCCGTGTTCGCGGACGTCAATTTAAGCGCGAGAGCGAGGGCGCCGAGAGTTTGACGCGTTCACAATCGCTGCCATCGTTGACGGACGAAAGATCATCGTGAAACGTTTCTCGAGGGACTGTCTATCGCCGGCGCAAATCGTTCAACGATAACTGCTCCATGAATTATTGGCGGATCGTTTCAACGCGGTTGAAAATTTCATACTCGGCGCGATGTTCATTCCTCGATCATCCTTGCAGATTAAAAAAAAAAAAAAATAAACAAATCATCCTCGTCTTTAAATTGGAAAACATTCTGGAGAAATCTTGAAAACAAAAGGATTGTTTCGTTTACGGAGAAATGAATTTTTTAGAAGAACTTCGATCGTTGCAACTGTCGTAGTATAATGTTGTACAATCTTGCAAGGTTGTAAGTCGAAGGCATCGTCACAATCCACGATTTTATAACGGTTTGACTGTTTAACTTCTTCTCGATTTGCACGCAAATACTTTCATAAAAACCGATCGATGACGAATTCGTTCTAACAGGGATAAGAAAAACTCGGAATCTGTGGTTGTTACGCCATTAGGGATTTCCCCTTGGTTAGCCGGCGTCGTACTGATTCCCGACTTCTCCCAGCGCGACGAAAAATAATCTCTTTTCTTCTCGTCTCCCCCTTCTAGCCTAGAACGCCCGCTGCGGACGTCAAAATATGACAGCTCTCTCGGGTCACCACTTTCCGCGACAAGAGTTGCGTTCAAGGGGGTTGCGACGAGCGATCATTAAAATAAAGCGGCGCTCGCCAACCGCTGTGCTCTTGACTGCGTTTCCTCTTCATATACTTCTCCAGAAAATCCTTTCCACATGAATAATATTCAGTTTCTATTGGAAAGTCTTATCTATACGGAACAACATAAGACATTTTGTGTTGGATTATCTTAAATGTTTCACAATTTTGCGTAAAACCGCCATTTATAATATACTGAAGTATTCTTTTTTATATACAGAATAGAATACTTGTTGCAAAATTATGGATAAATTATCGAGCAAGAACTGAATGTTACTTTTATTATGATTCAGTTCATTCGTACAATGCATTGTAGCATAAAATATCGTCAGCAAATGATTAATGAGTTAATTTGGATAAATTATGTGGCAACATGATTCGTACATTTGCAGCTTAAATGAGCGGTCGCATTGAGAGTCACTGTGGTACGCGGTTAAGCTGACGGAAACGGTAAATGGTTCGCATCCAACCCCCTCGACGAGACGCTAATTCATATTCATAGGTGTAGCGTTTAGTATTGTGCCGCTGTGATTCTCCGGAGAGTTTGCACGGAGAAGAACGTCGAGAAAGAGAAACATCAAGTTACATTAACTTGTCGCATTGTCGACGCGCACGGACTCACTGACATCGCGAAATTTCACTCCGGTTTAGGTTACGAATAATAATTAAAAGATATTTTTCGAACACACGTTATATCTTATTCGAATAATTAATCAATTGTTGAAATTTTAAACATTACAACGACCAGTTGCTTTTAGGAATAATTCTTACAAAAAAAAAGCGGCAAATTTTGTTCAGAATTTACAATCGATCTTTAAGTGGTGAAAATCGTCGCATCATCGATAGTTAAGCATTGAAAATTGGATGATGCTACGGCACGTCATACTGAAACTTATATGTCACTGTCATCGATACAAAATTGAAAATTATAGCGCATGATCACTGATTCTTATAGTGTTAATAAAATATGGAAAAATACATATGAAATAAATAAATAATGTGAATTTTCTATTAATATATAGATATAAATGATACATGATAAAATTAGTAATTTTTTTACAATATTTAAGATTTCCCACAAAATCAATTTGAAAATTGATGTTAAAATAGGTGATTGTTCTGCCATCTCCAGGCAGAATAGGAAATTAAATTTATCACTGGATATAGTTGATTCAATAATTCGAAGGCATAATGAACAGAAAATGATATAATAATAATAATATTAAATCCATGACGATTTACTTTTATCCTACTTCATTAATTTTATATTTTAACGAATGAGAAAATACTGAATAAATATAGATTTTCTATAAAAGTATAGAGACCTACAAAAGTTTTATATAAAAAGCGTATTTTATTGGATATTTCGGTATTATCAAAATATTGCCTACGTTAGCTTTTAAATGTTTCAAATATATATTAATAAAATATTAATTATATATACCATACTTACAAAATATTAATTATATATACCATATTTATCATAATTTTAAATGGCTTATTATATGATTTCCTATACATCATGTATGAAACTTTTCATAATTTATTATATAATAACAATAATAATAATAATACTTTTATAGTGCATAATATATAAATAAGATTAGAGAAAAAACGTAATTAAAATGCACTGTTAATGCATAAATATTGCATTTTTAAGATCATTATATTGCAAATAAATTACCTAACAATGTAGTTAGCTACAATCCTCCTTCATTCTTTGTTGGTACTATATTAGGTTTACGAATATGGTGATAAGTTGGTAAAATTTTTAACAAAAATTCTATTTGACTTATTGGAGGCTGAAATAAAACATAAAATCATAAAACGGCCAAATTTCATCTACAAGATCTGAAGTTTGATAGAAACTCACATATGGTTTACCGTGCATTTCTCTACGCTGACATTCATTACCATATATTATAGTATCTTCTGGTATTGTATCTGATTCTGTTAATGAACATGATGCTCCTATAATACAACCATTGGTCAATTCAACCTCACGACCAACATATGCTATAAATAAAAATAGAATGTTTCATAAAATACCTAATATTACAATAAGAAAGTTATCTGTTTAATTACAATAGTTACCTTTGCTTTCTAAAATATTACAATCTCCAACTTTAAATGCTTCGCAAGTACAATCAGTTTCAAATACATTGTAACTGCCTATTATTTGCACCGGAATTGTAGTTGGTTCAGGAGCATCCACTGGTAATCTGTAACATTATAATTGAATATTTTAGTCAAATAATTAAAGAGAAAAAGCAAAGAAGTGTTTGAAATTAAAATTACCTATTTGCTATTGTTGCCATTTCTTCTATAATGTTCCCTTCACCTATTATAATGGGACCAGCTTCTGCGATGATACTTGCCTTTGGATGAATTATAGTGTTTGGTCCAATGGTGATATCCCCTTTTAAAATACTTTCCTCGCATACTAAAGCTCCTACTGCTATTTTCACGCTGTAAAAATTACATTTTCCTATTTTGTAATACAGTAATTACACATAACAGACGTAACCTCAAAAGCATCAGAATGAATCTATCGAGTTTAACAACTAACTAAATACTTTCCTAATTATTTAGAATATTTTCTTAACTATTTCAAGGAAAAACTAATAAAATGTAAATAATTTGAACAAAATTTATAAATTTTCTTACTTTGTACGACGATTGACAAATGAATTCATTGTTAGCAGGTGACACTGTAAACGCCCTCCTTGGTGATTTCGGAGAATTAAACGATGGAGCGCGGGCTTCTTCAAATAATTTAAATTTACAATAAATTCATACTAACAATAAAGTATATGATAAAGTTGTTTAACTTTTCCCTTACAGGCTATATTAATGATTTATCAAATGTTGAAAATATATTGTAAAATGACACAACAAATTTGAAAAGGATTCTATAATTACAAAGCGATTGAAATGTCATTTAAAATTTGTAAATGTTGCAGAATCTCCAAACAAAATTGAAATCAATAAAACTGAAGATACAATAAACCATGAAAAATGCTTGCAAAATATTATTTGTTAATTATCGATATGTACGCGTATTTCTTTTATAATTTGTTTTGTAAATTAAAAAAAAGAAACAAACAAAGTATCTCAGAAATGTAATGGAATTACACAGATGTAATTAAATACAAAATTACTTCGAGCAAATGTTAAAAGGATTAAGAAAGTTAAGGAGATGAGCATTAAGTTGAAGAGGGTGAATCGATAGCGCGTGAGCCGCGCCACTCTAAAAAACATAACTCCTTCACTCGTTTTTTCTTTTTTTTTTTTTAATCGATATTTAATATAACTCTATATTATCCGTCAACTTTTATTTATATATATTATATATATATTTTTATATATTATATATTATAAAATTTAACTCCAAATTGCGATAATAACGTCTAATTGCAACGTGCGTGCGCGTGTACGTGTTGCGCCTTTGTGTGTGTGTGTTTTTCATTAATTTTTTTCTTCAATTCTCCCTTTCTCTCTCGCTCTCTCTCTTTCTCTCTCTCACTCTCACTCTCTCTCTCTCTCTCTCTCTCTCTCTCTCTCTCTCTCTCTCTCTCTCTCTCTTTTTCTCTTGATCGACTGGCCAATTTTCAAAAGCTACGATTCAACGACTTATTGGAGAAAAGATTCGTTCAAACAGAAAAAAAACTTACTTTCCGATTTTATAATTTTTTTCCTCTCGTTCGAAACTTCTCTTCTCATTCGGATGTTGAGATTGAGACACGCTGTTGCTGTTTTATTTCTCGTAAATTAATCGAGCTCGTAGGTTCTTCTAAACGCAAGCTGCGACGTAGTTTGACGCAGTGTGTAAGTTTGATATACGTGCAGCAACATCGCGTTTCACCGCTGTTATCGCGAGGTTTTTTTTTTTTTTTTAGTATCAGTTGAAAGAGCCAGAGCTCATTCGATTACTCCACTTGACTATTCCACCTTGTCTTATTACGCTGTTACTTGGAACTGTTAGATCTATCCGCGCTTTACTTCGGGATTACTCGGCTGAAAACTAGAATAGTTCTATCACGGATAATATCCATTAACAGTTACGTTACGAGCCGCGAAGCATCGTTCTACGACGCTCTCGCTACAATTAATTATCAACAACATGCACGCCACTAAATCTCGACGATTCTGCCACCAATTCCTGGCTGCTTCTCTTAACTCTTTCTATAACACGACTGCTCGTAATGTCTCGCGAATAAACTGTGCGTTCCGTGGATACGTGTACATCTGCAGTATTCCAACTGCTGGTCGACAGTCGCGTCCCGTATAAATGCCAACCGATTTCACTCCATAACGTTTGTTTGAAAATTCAATCCCATCGAGATCGAACGTCCCCCTGATATTTTGCGCCACTGCAGTTCGATGTTTTGATTAATCTCTGAATCAACGAATATGAAATGGAAATTTATAACTTTTCAACGTTCTTAGTCTTGCAATTCTCCACTCCTTTTTACCGAACATTTTGGTCAAACTTTTCGTCGTTAGTATCGTACAAAAGTATTTCGATGACAAAGAAATCTTCAAGATTTCACGAAAATATTTTTTGTCTCAGTGGTCCCTTTTATTTAATTCGTAATTTAATTTTTAGATTAGTTTCTGAATCGAAATATTGAAATTTTGTAATTTTACAACATTCTTAATCTTGTTAAATTCTCAATGTTTGAATTTCCTTTTTGCCGAATTCGCTAAAAGATTTTACAAAAGTCCCAAAAATTTACTACTTTCATGGTCAACATTGTACAGAAATACTTTAATAACAAAGAAATCTTCATCGATTACTTACATATCGTTCGTTTGAAAATTTCCTATCTAGATCGAGAAGATTCCTCTAATGTTTTGTCGCAATAATTTCTCGCAGTTGTTAATTCGTAGTTTAATTCTTCGGTTAATTCTGAAATCAGAGAATATAGAAATTTATAATTTTGAACATTCTCAATCTCGTATCTCTCAACTTTTTAATTCTCCTTTCCGACAATTTACTGCTTTTTACAATCACATTTAACAAAGACTTGTTACATATTTTAATAAAAATATTTGAAGTCTTCGTCGATAAATCACGATTTTCATTGAACACACTGGGCCTTCGCAAACGTCGAGAACGGATATACCGAGAGGCGACGTTTCACCACCGTGCCGGAGGTATCGGTTACGCTCCGTTTGTACGGAGAAAAATCGCGCAACAACCCCCCATCTCGCTTTCCCGCGCGCCGCCAGATCAGCCTCATTGCGCCTGATCTTTGCGAGGCCAGCGCTAAACAGCGCGCGACCGTTTCAAGTTCGCTCGGCTCCGTCTGTAGGAGGCTGGAAAACCGTGGACGGCGGTGGGCCGAAAGGCAGAAAGTAGAGAATAAGAAGAAGAAGAAAAACAACGCGAGAGAGAGAGAGAGAGAGAAAGGGGAGAAGAAGATTCAGCCAAACGATTGAAAGAGAAGGCGAAAGACTCTCTTGGCTGTGGTTGCCGAAGAGCAACGTCGCTGGCGAAGCGGACGAAGAAACAGATCCCTTTCGCGCGGGATGCGAGGGGACGAGCAAAAAAGCAAACGCGCGCTTCGTACCGGCTAGCCGGCACTACGTGTGTATCGCACATGCTTCTCTTTCTGTTCGCCGGCACCGCGGCCGTTCAACGATTCAATCTACTGCCGATTGTAAAAATAAACGGGGACCCGACCCGCTTTTTTTCCCCCCTTCTTGCACTTCGATCTCAGAAGAGGGCTGGCTTCTTTCTATTTCCGGCCGCCACGCCGCCGCGGAAAGCCGATTTCCAGAAACGCGCCAGTAGTGCGTTGCACTGCGTCTTTTCGATCTCTTTTCCTTTCTCTCTCTCTCTCTCTCTCTCTCTCTCTCTCTCTCTCTCTCTCTCTCTCTCTCTCTCTCACACACACACACACACACACANTCTCTCTCTCTCTCTCTCTCTCTCTCTCTCTCTCTCTCTCTCTCTCTCTCTCTCTCTCTCTCTCTCTCTCTCTCTCGCTTTTTCACTTTCTCTCCTCCATTCGTTTCGTTTTTTGTGATTCTTTTTTTTTTTTTTGTCTTATTATTTTGTCACTTCGTACCTCGATTATCTCCGACGTCTAAGTAATGTAATTGTCTCGTGTGTATGTATATGCGCCTGTGTATGTATGGTATGTTATTACCAGTGTATTCTGTACGCTGTGTATACACGGGTGGATTTGGTGGTTGTGGGTGAAGGATTACAGGTGGTAATGTATCTTGCACTCGCGCGTACGTGACTGTGTACGTGTTTTTCTTTATCTACAGTTAAACGAATTCTACGCACTTACTCGTTAATCGGCAGAATAATATGCATTTCTTAATTTCGCTATAAGTATATTTAAACCGTCCGAAAACGTGTCAGTCGGCGCACCGTGACGGATTCGCCATCGCTCTCGTCGAGCCTTTTCTTCTTTTCTCCAATTTGTTCGATTCCTTTTTTTCTTCGCTTTCTCCCATGCTTGCCTTCTCGCTGTTTCTCACTCTCGTTTTCCTTCCCCGTTTTTCTTCACGATCCGGCATAATTCTCACGTCTCCGACATCTTGTCTGAGAACACCACGTTTCCCTCTTGCACTTTCGAACAATCGTCGCCACGTTCCCCTCTTGCTCGTTATTTCGTTTCTCCTCTTTCTGTTTGCGTCTCAACACGTCGCTCGACTCGTTCGAAGGATTCGAAGTGATGATTAAAAAACCGAATAATCCCTGAAGCAGCGCGCCCTTTGAGGTAATGCAATTAAATGGTAATCGCGGTGAACGAGATAGAAACGATTAATGACATTAACGTGAGACGCGAGTTACTCATTCCCCTTCCCCCCTCCCCCCCCTTTCCTTTTTATATTCGCGGATACAAAAGAATGCGCTCGATTACTTCGTTCGATGAACGATGATTCGGACAGTCGTGTCGGCCGCCACTTGAGGGATTAAGCGTCGCGCTAAATTACAATAAAGAGAAGAGGATTTTGTTGTACGAAGATGCGGACGATACTTTACGGTGAAGAGAACTTATCTATAAATTCTGTTTAAATCTATCAACTACGGTCACGCTACGCGGTCTGCTAAGCTGCGCTAAAAATGTGGGACACTTTACTAACTGTAAAGTACCGACGCTCCCGGCGCGCTACGAAACTCCAACTTAGCGGCTTAAACACTCGACGTTCTCGAGAAGTGGCGTTCGGAATACACGCAGAAAGAACAATATAGTTGAATAACCGACGGCCAATCGCCGCCGTTTGTCTCTTTCATGTCAAGACGCGAACTTTGAAAAATATTCATCATCGAATAGATTAGAAACTAGTCGGACATTCGAGTGTCGAAATCGAATTACATTCGAAAATTTTCAATTGACAAAATGTCCTATCGTTCGCCCCGTTTCGAACGTTTTAATCCAAAACTCTAATAAAAAATTACTGACTCACATTGAGATGATTTTATACGGAGAATAAATTTTATCCTTCCGAACGAAGGAGCAAAGATAATCTTTCTAACACACAATTTATTCAACTATACAACATTCTCTGCCCAAACGACGACAGTCACAATCTGGCGGATTGCAGATGGATCGGGTCGCAAAGAACGTCGCAAACGCAACTAACTCACGGGGAACACGATCCTCGAGCATGGTTCGTTTCGAGAAATCGATCGACCACGTCCTTTTTTCTCTTTCTTCTTTTTACGTAACGAAGTTAGAATTTCTTTTTCAGTCATAAATAGAAAATCGAAAGTCGCGTGATCGGCGTTGTGTCCTTGATTTTGAAAGAATCGTCGCGTCACCCGATCGTTGTCGCGTCTTTCTTTAAAAAGCGTCTAACGATAATCGCCAATAGCATCATCATCGACGATCGAACCGTTCCCGTCACTGCGATGGAAACGAATGCGGTTCAGATAATATCTAACTAACGAGCTAACGTGTGTGTGTCTTCCGCCAACCGGAATCGTTGATCGCGTACAAAAAACGGACTTAACAGCGAAGTGAAACGTGCGGCCGCAACAAACGACGTCTCTCTCGAAAAAGGAAATGCCTATTGGTCGTTGATCGTCATCACACTGAATCCACGAAGTGTCTCTCTTCACGAGCCATTTACAATCCGTGTGCCGAGCACCGAGCCAACGCGATTTCCGTAATACCTTTCGTTGTTGGGAAGCTGGTGCTTGCTTGCCTTCGCCGAGGATTCGTGTTCGTTCGTGCTTGCCCGAGGATCGAATGTATCCTTCATTCTTTTGCCTTTCAGTTTTTAGACGCAGCAACGAAAGGGATGAAGATTCATTTACAATGTGATCTACTTCTCATCACTCTTTCTTCTTTTCTTTCTTTCCTATTTTCTTCAGCAGATTTAGAAGAACGTTTTTATTTAATATAAGAAGTGGCCAGGGATTTGTATTTCGCTCGTTTCACAATACAACGCTCAATTCTTTGCATCGTTGTTCCGTGTTATTCACAAAGATTTGCGGTCGCTGGTTTCTGGGAGTACGATTTCATTAAGCTTACGAGATTATCGTATCGATGATGGGTGGTTATTACATTGTCGACATCGAGTATCTAAAGTAGTCTTTGCCTAACTAGAAGTATCTTGCTCGAGGAAGAGGAGTGAAATGCACGGCGCAACAAACGCAAACAATCTCGAGTGAATTTACGAAAGTGAGTCTTCATAACAAATCGAATACAAATCCCTTACGTTAATATACACTAAACTTACTAGTCGTATCACATTAGTTTCCAATTATTTAACAAAGCTATAATAATTGAATTTCCCTCGTTTTAAATTAAGTACTATAGTAGTCGAATTCATCGAAATATAAAATTCGCTAAAAAATCTTTATCGTTAAATTTATTCTAAATATCGAATTAGTTCGAAAAGGTCGTTCCAATATTTTAAGAATATCGCTTGGAGAATGAACGTATGAACGCAGCACGATTCAATGAATGGAAAAAGCAGCCGATCATCCGGATATCTCTACGGAAATCGGATTGGTGGGCGCTCGTTCGAGGCACGACAGATGATCAGCCAGTATCGGTCTGGCCGACGAAAGCGAGGAAAGCCGGTAACGGTGCGTAAAAAACGCTTCGAGAGGCTTCATCGCGGCGATGGATTATTATTTAGTTAAGAAGTACGTGTTTACGTATAAAGAGACGCGTCATACAGTGCCGTACAGTACCAAAACGTTTATAATGCGTACATAATGTTACCTCGATTAATCTCTATCTACGCGCTCGCGCAGGCATCGTGTATGTAAAAGTGTTCCATTTTAGTCGTATTCTTTTCCTTTAGTCTCGCTGCAGGTGTGTGTATATCGTGTGTATGTATCCGTGTGCCTGTGTTCTTCATATTTTTTTCTTTTTTTCAATTTTATATCCACGTGTTGCGTCCATGAGCCGGCCAGGCTGGTCCAGAGACAAAAGTTCCATTTTCTCTGCATTTTATCTTCATTTATACGTCTCTCTAACATTTCCTTTTGCATATTGTTCATCTCTTCTTTTTTTATCTTTTAAATCTTCTCTTTAAGCAGAGGGACTGTCGAATTTTGATCGTGCCGCCGGAACGTGCTCGTTTTTTCATCTTTTTAAATATGTATATATATTTATGATATATATATGTATATATATATGTGTGTGTGTGTGTGTGTATTTATGCATATATAGAGTCTAAAGTAGCTCAGAGGGAACTATGCGAAACCACTAACGCGAAGTTTGAACAACGTGGCCAGCCCGTGGACATTGCGCCGATGCTTTTCCCCTCGTTGCATTCTTTGTTCTCCTTCCTCGTTCCGTTCTTCTTCGTCGCTTCATCCGTTTCGACACGCAGCCTCGGGAAGCTGCATCGACGCGATCTCCACAGCTCTGTGCCACACCGATACTCTTCGACGACGCTATTTTGTTCGGGTAATTCTTCACTTTTGCACCGTTTGCGTTTATTTAAATGTATTGAGTTTCTATCGCCGCGAGCGACGGCCCGACCAACATTCTTCCGTACACACCAGTCCCCCGTAATATAGATATATGTATATATTATCATATACGTGTCGTCCGTGGACCGTCCTGGCGGAGCCCTTAATTAACCACTTTTTTTTTTCACTTTATTTTAATTAATACAATATATATATATATACTTCTTCATGTATGTATCATCATAACAACCGATATTTCTCAGTTCTCTCTCTCGTTAATTCTATTATCACGCAGGCTTCTAACTTTCACACAGGCTTCTCTTTCTCTCTTTCTGCGTTTCTGCGTATATTCTTTATTTTCCTCTTAGATTCCCCTCTCTCGTCACTCTTTTTCTCTTATTCACCCTCTCCGCACGCACATTTCGCTTCTCTCGCACGCACGCAATCGTAACAGGCTTTTTTTCACTGAAACTCTCACTTCGTACATTTTCTCACTCTCTCTCTTTCTCTCTCTATATATATAATATATTTTATATCTGTGTATATATATATATACACACACACACACATATACATGTATGTGTATGTGTATATATATATACTTCTATATATCTTTCATATATACTTTATGTTGCTTTTTATGTATACTTTATATATAACAATGTTATGTTTATTTAAGGCCCATACGTTCTTTATGAAGGAAATAATCTGCAACAGAAAGGAGACGAATATACGGTTAAACCTCTTTTGCTCCCTGTCGTAAGCACCGCGAGTATAGAACTATCAGTCGATATTCTTTCCTGTTTTTTCTTTCACTTTTTCTTTTTTTTTTTTGTTTTCGTTTTGTGAACGTGTTTTTTTTTTTTNTTTTTGCTTTTAATCTCCTTTTTCCCATTCTCGTGGCGGCCCAACCTCGAACGCGACGACTTCTACCGAGGCTAAAAGAACGCAAGTAGATGTGTCCCGGCATGGTCAGACTGAGCAGGACGACCGCTCTCCTTTGCTTTGCGTCTCATACGAATTATTCTTTATGATTAATATTCTCTGTCCAAATTGAATTAATTATTTGTAGCCGTTGGTTTTCTCCTCGTTTAAAGAACAAAAAAAAAAAAAAAAGAAGAGAGAGTTACATCTGGCAGAAATTTATTAAATGTAAAAAATAACTCATGAAAACAAGTATTTATTCATTTTGGACGAGTAACAGTTCAGGAATCCATCTTCCTTTCGTGAAAATTTGATCGTTCCGTCGAATTTCATTCGCACGAATTATATAGGCGATGGAACTGTTGATAGTCGACTAATTTCATTTAAATTTCGTCCTTTTCTTTTCGTGAAAAATTAATGCCGCGAGAGTCGTTATCTACTAGTTCCGATTGCCTCGACACGTGCGTTTCCCTACGTTTTCCTTTCACGCTGTTTCTTCTACGATCCAAAGTACGTTTTTGTAACGCCATCGTGTCTCGACGCTCCCTAGGAAGGATCGCTGTAGATCAGAAACAAGTAACTTTCGACTCGCGCGCTCAGAAAGCTCGAAACTCGATTCCGAGTTTTGGCGATCGCTAGTAGCCTACCGGGTTTTTTTTTTGCGGAAAACCCGATGAAACAAACAAAAAGATACAATATGTACAAAATGCACGTTGACGCGAGGTTTGCGTCGTTAGTTACGGTTAACACGCATCACGATTCGTATCGATTCTGGAACGAACCTACGACGAAGAGCAATTAAATTGCTCTTGGAACGCAAACGTGACGAAAAAATGTCGATGTGAGAGAGACACTTATGTTTCTAGAATAATTACACAGACTTTCACAGGTTAGAAAAAGCACATCACGTGAACGATTAAATCGCTTATAATACTTTATTATTTCTTACAAAATCGTCCCGGGATGAGACGTTTGAACTTGTGTATAAATTCGAAATTCGTTTGCTTTACACAATAACGTGTCGATTTCGTATAATAACAATTGAGAAGGAAAAAAAAATCAAGAAAAAAGTACCGTTTAACGTTCCGTACGTGTGAGAACGTGATAAGCTGAGAATAAATTAATTCGCGTCCGTGGATTGTAACTTCGAGAGAAAAACCCAGAACGCGCGGTCGAAGAGACGCGTAGAGAGAGAGAGAGAGAGAGAGAGAGAGAGAGAAAAAATAACCCGGTAGACTCTGTCTATGTTCGCGTTTCGCAAATCGATTTTCGGCCCGCGAACTCTGTATTTTTTTTTCAGAAACACCGAGGTAACTTTCACTTAACGAGTACGACTGATTAATAATAATTATTAATAATAATTTTGGGAGGAGACAGAGAAAGAGAAAGAGGAAGAAAAAGAAGAATAGAAGAAGGGGGCCTTGTCAGTTTTGTACATGTCGAAAGAAAGGGAACAAAAGCGAATGCGAAGAACGAGAGATGATAAAAACAAAGTAAAAAGAAATATTAATAATCGCAATAATAATAGTAATAGCAGCAATGGTGGCCGTAACAGTAATAATAAAAGTTATAATAATAATAAAATAATAATCTAATAATAATCGTAAACGATTCTACGCAGTTTCTGATAAAAAAAATACAAGTTCTTTTTCTTTTCTCTTTTTTTGCCTGCTCTTGCTCTCTCTCACTCCCCCCCCCCCCCCCCTTCTTATAACGACGAATAAAAATATAGAAAAATTAACGAAGAAACTTACAATGATCGCAAGCTAACTTGCAAGTTACTTGTTTCCCGCTCGAAATCGTCGACAGCTCTCTTAAAGCCGGGCCCCGCTCTCTCTTCTGCGTGTAAAAATTCAAGATCCGAGGCACAAACGAAGCTCTAAACGAAGTCGGTTGTTTGGGCAATCGTGAAATCGGGTTGCGCAGGTCTTACAGATAAGATTAAAGTTGTTCCATTATCTCGGTTACGAAATGGCCCTGATCTATCATCGTCATACACAGCTTTCGTCAATAAAAACGAGATCAAGAAAGAGAATTTTTACGCGCAATTACTGCGTGTCGTCTAACAACCATTCGTTCGACTTCGAATCGCAATTCGATCGCTCGACTCGGTCCGAGGATCTTCACTTTCACGTCAGAGTTGAATCGAAGGGCTCGAAAGAAGATCGGTGTTCGCGAAAGTAGCGAGCGCGGTAGAGACAACATTTTCTCCTGTATACTTTCTATTATATATAAATCTCTTCACACGCAACGATATCTCTGGTCGTTTTGATAAAATCACAAAGAGTCAACGAGAGTTAAAATTAAATACATTTACAGAAAACATATAGACACACGTATAGTCAACAGTTTCCATTTCGTTTCCGTCGTTTCTTCAAACATCTTCCCCGCATGAAACTACGAGATCAAACGTGAACACAAAGTGCGATTAAAAACAAGAAGAAGAGAGGTAACCACCGTTAGACTCGGAAATTTCCATTGTACTTTTTAGACGAACGAGCTGAAAACCAAAAATCCAAGTAACGAGCAAGAAAAAGAGAAGAGAAAAGAAACGTCGAGGTCTCTCGTTACTCGCGGTACGTTCCTTCCAGCCCTTCGAACGACCGCGCAACAAGCTCTCGGCTCCAAAAAAGAACACGCATCCGAGCGGTAATCAGAGCGACACTTCCTAGGTAGCTTCGATACTTAACCACGCAGCAACGTGTCGTCGTCGTCGTCGTCGTCGTCGTCGATACGCGGTCGCCTTCTTCCTCGTGTCCTCCCGAAAATGTTATTTTTTTTCTTTTTTTTTTTTTTTAATTCATTTCTTTTCTCCGTTCCTCTTTTTTTTTTCTTTTTTTGTTTTCGTTTTCCGGACGGTGGTGTCAACTCACCTTGACAGAGCAAGGCCCGGCGCTACTCGCGTACCGCTTTGTTCGTCAGCGTCGGGACGCTCTGCGCCGCGTCGATCGTTCAGCTGTCGACGCTGAAAAGCTCTTTGTGAAGGGCCGGGAACTCGAGGTGCGGCTGCGACCGTTTGAACTTGGCCAAGGCGTCCATGTGCAACAGAGAGATCTCGCGAAGCTGTGGGATCTTGGCGAGGATCGCGTCGCACACCGTCACGTCGCCCTTTATGGGCGACACGTGGTTACGATCCAGCTCCGACCTGAGCGCCCTGATCACCGCCTGCGACAGTCTCGTGATTTCCGCGAGCCCTTTCAGCCCCGGCCGATCTGAAATTTATTTTTGGACCTGTTTATTTCTGGTCGTCTCGAATCGCCCCGCCGTCGCCCAGCGGCAATGTTTACCGGTGTTCAATTCCTTTCGTGAACTGTTGTGCGCGCTGAAGAGGTGGCGGCTGCTGGAAAGGGCGGCAGGAGGGGGAGGGGCAGGGAGAGGAACGAGACACTTCCGTCGAACGAGTATTTATAAGCGGCGATTAATTTTGCGGTGGAGCGTTGTCGTTGTGCGACGAAATGGGATGAATTAAGCGGCGGATAATTGAGGGACCCGAGTTCGTGGATAATTTTGGAGAGTGAATCAGGGACAAAAGAATGGGGAGGAAGAAGCCAAAAGCAACTTGATATCTATAGCGATAGATTCGTAGCGTTAGAGTTGAAGCATGTGAAACATGTGGTAATGTTCTTTTTTTTTCGTTTTCTCGTTTTTGTTTAATCGATTCAATCGATGGGATTAGTTTTTAGTTGTACAAGCGTTTCTCGATGGAATTTAGATTTCTTTGTAGAAACTCTGCGGTTAACTACTAGCCGAGAGAAATTTGAATATCATCCACTCCGCAGCTATTGAATCGATTATCGTCAAAGGTACTCGAGTAGGAAACGAATTCTTTTCGACTCTAAGCAGTAGAAATGTCAAAGGTTGTAATTGCATTTATTCTGTTTAACGAGACGCTCCTCGTTTTTGCTCCTTTCACGTGGAACAATTCTGTGACTACAGTCCGTCGTGAAATGAATACGTAAAATTATTGTCGCGGTACCTTTGATTAGCAACGAGCGACGGAATTGTTCAAATTATATTGACTATCTTGTACAAAAGAGAAAAAAAGATCGTTCCCAGGTAATAATACAGAATTGAAAATTTTACCAACCGGGGCTAAGGAGAACCGCCGCACTGTAAAGAGCCAGCTCTGTTTCCGTCAGCTTCAATTCAGCAATACTCCTGGCCAACTCAAACACGCAAGAAACAAGCTTCATTTCCGCCGTGTCTGTCGTGTAAAACGCATCCTGCGGTAACATGGTGTCACCGTAGAGGACACAGTTCTGCTGGAGATCGAGGTACCTGCTCATACGTAGCACAGCCAACTCGAAGGAACCTAGTAACATCGTGAACAGCGGTCTATTATTACGTTGAATTAACCTAGAGTAAATTCAGTTGGCTGAAGACACAAGTAGCACAAGTTTTATAAACTACGTTAACCATGATTAGAAACTGTTTGATTTTACTTACATGTTCTACAAATAAATTAATAATATCAAATCGAATTCTATAAAATTAATAATGTCATGTTAATAATACAATGAAATCAAATAACAATTTCTATCTTCAATATAGCAAAATTCTGCGTTTAAAATATATAAAATTAATATCGACGTAGTGATACATTTAATAAGCATTTATCCAATACTTATTGAGAAATTTCTGTTTAGATTATCCACAGACATTTGTTAATTTGTGGTAATATGGTGGTTCACCATAGATATTCTATTTACGTATTTAAATTGGGATTACTGACCAGCCTTTAGTAGAACAATCTGGTCGTCCTGCGAGAGCTTCATGAATCCAGGAACCATCTTGGCGAACTCGATGATCTGCTGGATAACGGTGGTTAGTTTTTGGGCGCACTCGAGCCAGAGTTGCTCGTGCGCCATATTCTTGTAGTAGATCAATCTGGACAGGTCGTGCGGCTTCCGGAAGGACTCCTGAATCTGTTCCGTCGACAGCAGACACGTTCTTGCGTGTGCATCCGCTATCGTTTTTGAGAGCAGCTCGCTGATCTGTGCCGGATCTACGAAAATCCATCAGAATGTCGGGTTGAAATCACACTTCACGAATATACTTAACACCCGACAATATTATTCTCTACTCTTCGAAACGACTATTAACAAATACAACCCAGACAGAAAGATTGTAACACATGACGCGTAACGAAAGTCTCTCGTCAGCACGAATCGTTAACAAACATAGTGAAGAAGGAAATATTCAAAAGATTCTTTTAACACGCATGAATAGCATGAATTGCTAACAAATATAACACAGAGAGAAATATCGTAAATTTTTCAACACATATAGCACGAACCGCGTAAGCGACGAATGAATGGTTAAGAGAGAAAGACACTAGAATCAGCCGATTGCAATTATTGCTGTATCTCACATGTTAGAGCGCAACGATTTTCGTTCGACATGGGAGAGCACGTTTTCCAGGCAAAGTTCACGCGAGCCAATATGAACCAGCGGACCAACCTACGGCCGAGTTCGTCGTAGATCTCTGTAATTACCGCAATTTCAAACGACATTATCGCCATGGTTACCAAAGCCATTTCACTCGGGCATTCAAGGCGAGCACCTTTAAACGACTCTCTCGCTTTGCCGCGAAGAATCACCACGGAGAAATTCGAACCCTTTCATTCAATTCCACCCCTCTTGTCCATGACCTGAATCAACTAGTCCCGTAGCCACTCTTCATTCTTCCACTGTTGTCGAAAATTTTGAGAGAATACTGATCAAATACATGCTTACGCTCAAGTTCGAAAAATCGACGAACGAGTCAAGTTGTGCATTCGTGCATCGATCAAACTGATGTTAAATTTCATTTCTTCATCGCAAGAATAAACCAGGTGTTTGTAATTTAAGGAACTTTTTATGGAATTCCCGCGTCGACAACCAATTTGCATTTACTGTGTGAACGATTCTCGCCGCGCATCCATCAATTTTTTTTTTTTTTTTCACCTCGATGTCCGAAAACGTGCAGGAAAAACGTACTCTCCCTCGTTTTGTGAAAACGAAGAAGAAGAAAAAAGAAAAAGATCGATTCAATCGACCACGCAAAAAACTGACCGAGAGACAAAAAAAAAAAAAAAAAAAAAAAAAAAAAAAAAAAAAAAAAAAAAAAAAAAAAAAAAAAAAAAAAAAAAAAAAAACGAAGAGACAGAGAGAGAGAGAGACAGAAAGAAAAAAAAGAAAAAAAACGGAAAGAAAAGAAAAAAATAATGAAAGAGAAAAAAAGCGCGACGCATGCCCATGCAAAGGGACACAAACGTAACCTCACATCTCGCATGGGACATACTGGGCAGACTCGGCACTTCGTCGTCCTCGGATGGATTGCTGACCCTCTGTTGCTGACCGCTCAGAAAGGTCGTCGAGTCGACCATCGTGTACGAGCCGTGGCCCAAGCTGGCCAGTTCGACGGTGGTCTCTTGCTTCACAGCAACGATTCCACCCCCGCTGAGGGAACCGGCACCGCCGCCGCCGCCGCCACCGGCAGCCGCGCCACCGCCGGTGCCAGAACCGCTCCCTCCACCACCCGAGCCACCACCACCACCGGATCCACCACCGTTACCACCGCCACCACCGCCCCCACCGCCTCCGCCGCCGCTACTGCCTCCACCACTACCAGCCGTGCTGCTTCCGGTCGTCGAGGCAGACAGCGACTTCCCTGGTACGCGAAAAGTCAAAGTTCACTCCGGTATCTCCACCAACCTTTGCCTATTTCTTTCTCTCCGCCGCCGCTGCATATTCCCTTCCACTTCTCTCTTTTGTTCCTCCCTTTCTCGCGCGTGTCGTGTTGTTTCCATTTTTCAATCTCGTCGTTGCCTCTTTCCCTTCCCTTTGCGACTACTTCCCCCCCCCCCCCTTTTTTTGTTTCTTTTTCTTTCCGCTCGCAGAGAGAAATCACGCTACTCAGACGTAGCGGATCCTCGAGTTTTTGGTCGTACGAAAGCTGAGGGTGGGGCGGGAGTTTGTCGGCTCGTCGGGATGACACGGGATTTGCTGCAGGATTTATAGATGGAAGAACGGGCGGCGAAGAACCTCCAGAGGATGGAACGCGGTTGTGATCGATTCACCGCTTTTTTTCTATTTTTCGGAGGTAGATGGGAATTCGGGTATTCTCGCTCTCTGATTATGAAGTGTTAGTGAGTGTAACCGTGCCAGAGCCTCGATTTACCAGGACGTGTCGATTAATCAGAATTTTTGGGATGCTCGGAACGATTGAGAGATAAGAATAGAAACTGAAAGAGAAGTGTTTGTTTTCGTTTAATTATCCAAACAGCGTGTGTTGTCATTAGTTCGAGTAACCGACCAAAAACTCAAGGTTCTACCGTTGTTAAAACTTACAATTAGAGCAATGTAGACTAGCCTAAGCAATGTGACGAGAGTAAATAAGTAATGCCATAGTTACAAAAAGTATATCCACACCATTGTTTGAGAATCCTGATAAAATCCTCGTTATGTAATAACAAGAATATGTTTACACTCAATAATTTTCCGTGACCATTGTATGCAATCGTACTTCCGTTTCAATAGAACTCAAGATTGATATCATCAAGAATTATTTTTCTGTAAAAATAGAAAGATCTTGTGCTAGTGGTTTTGAAATGATTCGATGATTTCAAAGGGGAAATTGTTCTAAGTGGGAAATAGCTTGGAAACGAACAACCTTTTAAATGTTAATTCATGGCAAAATTTAATTCTATCTTTACGACTATAACGCTACTTCGTAGCCGCCAGTATCGATATTATTCGCCGAATGCGTGGCGCAGTCAACTGGCAGTGATAAACACAGTAATTGTATCAGCCGTGTGCTGCTGAAAGGGACCAGTACTACTTGGCGCTGTTTGTTCATCGATTGACATCTCGTTACCGCTCTTTCGTTAACAATAAACTTCAATGAAACTATAAACTCCGGAGTTGGCTCAGCCACGTCTGTCAGTTCAGTCGGCCAGATTCGCGGTGCGTTCGATCAAAATTGAAAATATACGTATGAACGAGAAATGAATTTAAACCGTGATTTGCGTCGTGATTCCGGGAATATCGCGACGTTCGAACGATTTTACGGATCGTTTGCTCGAAAATGTAAAGACCGAAAGATGAAAAACTTTCCGTCATTCCTCTGACGCAAATCGAGCGAATTCGAAAAAAAAACAGGGAGATTTCATTCGCATGTATGTACAAAGGTCGAGTTCCAAGCCTTTACATTCGATAAACTAGATTAATTGGAAAGATCTGGTTATCTCGAATATATTTCACTAACTTTCTGAAAAACGTTTCGAAATAACGTCGTGGCTAGTTTGCGAGTGTTTCGCAGTGACGTTCGGAAGTATGTAACGAAAACAGGGACGGAATGGGAGGGGAGGCTCTATTGAAACGGATGGATTGAAAGCAAGCAGAAAGCACGCAGGACTCGAGCCAACGATGACATAAGAAACTCAAACATCCAGTGGTGCAACTTTGTTTCTAATTAATCTCTCGTCAACAACGATAACGTTTCGAATTCTCTTTCGAAGCACAAGACGTACCACTGGATCTGCAAATTTCTAGCGCAATGTTCGTCCGTTCGAGAAACACACGGTGTGTATCGAGTGTATCTGAATGTGTTAAGTCAAGCTTTCTCGAGCTTTCTTGAGAGACGGACAACGAAAGAGAGAAAGAGAGAGGAGTGAGTGAGAGAGAGAGATAGATAGATAGATAGATAGATAGATAGATAGATAGATTAGAAGCGTTGTTCGTGTTTGCTTCGCCGAAGAAAGAAAGAAATGGTGTGGAACTTGGTGGGGAATTTCGAGAAGAGAATACTCACCGGTGGTGACCACGCTGGGAAGTACCCCAGTCGCGGTGACAGCGGAGGGCGTATCAGGGGCGACAGTGTCCGCGACCTGTGTCTGCGTCGGTCGCGGATCGTAGGTCGTCGTGCTGTCGACATAGTCGGCGCTAAGCTCGTAGTTCGTCATCGCTTGATGATTGTAATAACCCGATCCACCCGTGCCGGGACCGGGAGAAGCGTATTCACTGCCGCCGTACGTGTACCTGCCGCAACGAAATCGAAACGAGAATCAACACGCGCGCCACTTCCTGTGTTCTTCAAGTACCATACACGGGCGAGATCAAACTCGAATTAACAATTACCAGAGGTGGTGTCAATTTTAAAATATATAGTGTACAATTTTATAAAATTAATATAAAATTATGAAAATTAAATCTCTTCTTTATATATGTATAGTATATATGTTATATTAACATAATATAATATATATTAATATATTAACTATATTATAATAAATATATTAATATATTAATTATATTATATGTATATTAATATAATGTGTATTATGTATATATGTATATTATATTAATATGTATATATTATATATGTACAATATTGCTGTCGTTGATTTCACTTGTTTCTTTTTTTTTTTTTTTGGTACTTAATCAAATCTCTGAAGCTCTCGCGCTTACGTTAGTTTTTAATTACTTTAATTGCGCGACTTACCCGCCATTAAAAGGGTGATGTTGATCCGAACTGCTCGGGGTCTGATGTTCAAACACACTGCTATCGGGCGCCGTCTCGGAGGCCGCTCTCATTTGTGCCTTGTGGAACCTGACTTCGTCCTCGACCTTCTCCCTCTGTTTCTTCGACATGCGCCCGAATTTAACGGCTGCAACACCAATCACACCATACTTCGTTGTAGCGCACTTCGAAATTTGTTATCGGTTTTATCGAATCAACGTAAAAATCGAAAAAAGAGTCGTTCGAATTTTAATTGAGTCCTTCGTGCTCTCGAACAGTCGTTTAAAATTAACACTAGAACCACCGACGACCAAGGCATAATATTTGTGGCAAAGAAATTAAAGTGCAAGATACAAGTAGAAATTAATAATACGATAAAGAGCACAAACGTCTGTTTATATATTTTATTCAAAATCACTCGAGTATCTGAAAATACGCTGTTATGAATGGATAAAATTTCCATAGAAAATTATAAATTAGTCTTTTGATCATTTTGGTAGTTCTAGTGTTAAGAGCCGAAGTGGTGGTAGTATCAGTTCGAGGAAATTTCTTCAACAATTGCTAAGTGTTGCCGAATACGGAGGCGCAAAGATCGACAATCGCAAATCTTACCCGCTGTCCGAAAGAAAACTACACGATCCCTTCAACAAATTATAATACTCCATTCGACCAAGCTTACAATTCTTAATCTACCTCGTCAGAAGCCGAACGCGTATCGACGAAAATGATCAATTTTTTATCGCACGATCTTCCCCTTCCTCGACAAGTGTGTCTCGATCGACTTCCACGCCGAGTCGAGTGAATTGATCGTTGTGCAGGCGGGTTAATTGGCGAGGCGTTTCGATTCGATCGAACTTCGGAAGCGGACGATTTTTTTAATGAAGATCGAAGACGGACCGGAGGATCCCCGTTTATAAAGCGGTCGCTGAACAACGCTCCAAAGAAACGTTCTGATTCGAGGAACGCGGAAGTTCTTTGCATCTCTCGGAGTTCTTTGCTTCTCCGTCGTTATCGCCGGCTCCGATGCACCCACCCATCCCGTGGTGACGTCACACGCGCCACCAACACCACGGCGGAGCAGCGAGCGAGCGAGCGAGCGACGTCACGCGAGGCGTTCAACAACCGCTAGAACCTGAATCATGCATCCTCGTTTCTCTTCCGTGTTCTCCAGTTTCTCAAGTTCACTCGCGCGGGGTTCAGAGCCGAAGGGCCGCGACTCATTTCGAACGAGGCGCGTTCATTGTTTGCCCGCCGGCGAACGCCCTTACGAATAACGCGCTTCCGAAATCACATCCACGGCGAAATTCGAATCCGCGTCGAGGCGAAAACGGGGGACGTTTTCTGTCCCGTTTATCTCGAAATAAGTTTACACGACTGGGTAATTAATTAATTGGAGAAAGTCGCGACGACGAAGTTACTTTCGTTGGTAAAGAAAATTGATCCTCGCCGATCCGCGCGAAGTTCTCTGCGAGTGTTGGCCTATCGAGCCGAGCGAAGTTGAGAAGAAACGTTGTATTCGTGCTGGCCGATTTGATTACTCGAAAGATACTGACGCGCGTAGCGAAGTTTAATTTTCGTTAAAAAGTAAAGTTAATCTTTGCCAGTTTTGCGCTAGCAACTGGTTCACGGACCATAATGAGTGACCAAACTCACGTATACAATCATTCGTTTTCTTTTTGAATTCATCGATACATCACTGGATAGAAATTACCAAGAACTATTAATTTGTTATTAACTAAGAATTTGTTATTTGTTTTGCCTGGGTTATACTTAAATATACTTAAAACTGAGAAAATATTGCAATTTTGGGCCAAATATTCTCGACACGGCACAAGAGGCTAACACTCAAATTAAACATAACTCGATTGAATAAAAAGAGAGAGATAAAAATCCAACATCCAACATCCTTCTCTTCGGAGGAGGTTCTAACGCATACAGCGTCGAAATATAAACTGACTCTTGTAATATACGAAATATCTCGTCTTAAAACGCATTTCAATGCGGTTACGACGAATCTCGAGCGATTGGTTGGCTGACTACTAATTCGACGCACGGTACGCGGTACCATCAATTTGGACAGTACCGTCCCGCTCTCGAGGACAGGGTTGTTGGTTCCACTCCTGAGAGAAAGAGAGAGACGTATATGACCCGTTGTTGGCGAACGGAGAAAAAAAGGGGAAAGAGAGAAAGAAAGACGAGTCGCGCGACGTCAGCTGCCAGCTGAAACCGCTATCGGGATCGCGCTAGAGAGAAGGAAAGAGAGAGAAGCTGTGAGAGAAGGCCGGACGAGGACGGAGAGGCAGAAGCGGAGGGTGATCGACCGAACGCAGCGAACGAACGAACGAACGAACGAACGAACGAACGAACGAACGAATGACCGAGAAAGCAGACTGGGGATTCTGATGAAGCAACGAGGAGGCACAACGACAGAGGGAAAGAGCGTGACGACACTGGGGCACAGAGGGAGGGAGAGAAAGATGACAACAGGAAGAGTATGAACGCGCCGCTCGCGCGCTCGCGACCGGTAGCACACGACGCTGCTACTACTCTCCTCCTCCTCCTCCTCCTCCTCCTCCACCTCTTCCACCGAGAGAGAGCAGGCTGCAACGAGACGACACGAGGAGAGAGGACTGGCTCCTTATCAACTGGCGCAAATATGTACTCTCCCGGACGCGTCGCGCTTGTGAGAAGCAACAGCGATTATCACGACGGATCTACACACACGCGCGCGCACATACATACACGGGGAGGAGGAGGAGGAGGAGGAGGAGGAGGAGGAGGATTTGTTCTCGTTGCGCCTGAGAAGTCTGTTTCTCTTTCGGATGCCGTATCAAACCGTTTCAGGGATTCCAGCGTGCTCGGCGGGACCACGAGGTGTGCGTGACCGACACACCTCGGCACCGAGGATTCAACGAATGGGACGTCAATGACCTCGCGGCGGAGCGTTCGGTCGTTGAGGTGTTCGACGTTTCGATTTTGACAGCCTGTCGGCAAAGGGGAACGGGGCAGACAGCCTGGAAAGTCGATGCGTCGGGAACGCCTCGGGCTTCGCGGCACGACGGGGATGATGTTGGGATCGGGCGTTAGATTCGTAGGATTCTTGGAAACGTAATTAATGTAACCCCACTCGAGATCGAGACAGTTGTATACCGTGCCACGGTATTTCCGTGGTTAGAATTCTTGAAAAAANGACGACATTGAGTCATAATCGACACATGTACGAGTCGCATTTAGGAATTTGAGACGCGTATTAAAAAAAAAAAAAAAAAAATAAATAAAAAAGAAAAATAAAGGTCGTTCAACCGTGCTGTCTATAGAAATAGTATTTTCAACCTGAACCCCATTATATAGAGTCGAAAGACCCTCTTTCTTCTAGGATTTAGTACCTGCTGTAGAATGTTACGGACGAGCTCGCTATAAATACAACTTTTTCCTCCCTTTCCCTTCCACCCGTTTTTTTCATTCTTTTCCTCTTCCCTCGTTTCACTATAATTCCAGAAATGCCTCTGAAATAGGAATTTCAGGAAAACTCGTTAAAAGACATCCATGAAATTTTAAGCCAAAATTTCTCGAAATTCCACCTGGCTTTTATCCACCTGCCTCCGTCGCTCATTGCCGGTGAGAAATTAATAGCGTACATTGTTCATGAAGTCAAAGTTCACGACGACAGGGTGTCCTATTCTAAGTATTCAGGAGTGATCGTGACTTTTCGTTGACGAAGGTGAACGGTCGATCATGTAAGAAATGCAAGATATTTCAAATGAGGTTTCTCGATAATCGCTATTTTAATCCGCTGATTAAATCCGAGGGTGTTCTCGGATAACCAGCGTGACGGTTATAAAGAGGGAAGGAACGATCGATTGCATCCTTAACAACCGTACGAATCGTCGATTATCGAAAAATCATCTTGCACGATTAGAGCGTGATGTTACGAAATTATGTCGCTGATCAAGCCAATCTGACTAACGTGTCTCGCTCTCGTTAAAAAAAAAATTCTCAAAGCGATTCGAATGAATTTTTTCCCGTAAGTTTTGAAGAACAACACGCTGAAGCGTGAAAATACAGGATGAGCAGTATCTGATCGACGACAAAGTCCGTTTCTTCGTATCGGAAACAGCTTCCATTCAGACCACGACTGCAATGTCCTGCTTTTCGACAGCTACTTATCGAACGTGGCTTTTTATCTGACGGCAGGAGGCCTGAAAACCTCGGCGAATGTTCATTAAAAAACTTTACGAGCACTCGCAAAAACGAACTGTCGAAACAGCCTTTGTGGAACACTTCGACGCGCGTAGACGTGTTTCAACATACTGTGAAATGACGAATGATCCCACTTTTGACAATAATTACACGTCTATATCGTGACGATGATTTTTTTCAAAGCCGTCCGGATTAGATTACACGCTGATCAATTCGTGGAACGTTGCACAGAGATTCGAATAAATATACAATTATGTTAGAACAAATGATCAATTGTTCAATTTTGAAGATCTCTTTGTCATTTCAAGAGAGGTATATCCGATTCGAAAGAAACATCTAAAACCAATCCATCCGAACGTTGTACGCAGATCTGAATAAACATACAAATTATCAATTGTTTAATTTTGAAGATTTCTCGTCATCTCAGGAAAGGCAAAACTGACTCAAAAAGATCAATCTATTCTCCAGTAATAAAAAAAAACTACTAAAAAATATCAAAAGGTAACTTGTCTCTTGCAAGAATATTCTGTTCGTTTTGTCGTTCTGTTCCAATCTCGTCCGTGATTTGAAAATCGCCGCGTGTCAAATTCATAAAATTTCCACGGTGAAAACCGACGATCAACCAACCACGTGGAACACCGCTATCTGTTACCGTGTCGTCGAGGCACAGGCCTAAACGCTCGCGCGTGAATGTCGTTAAACGTGTCCGTAAGACGTCTCGTGTAAGTACTCGAGGTCCGATAAGGTGCAGCAACGCGGTAAGAGGCCTAGCTGCATTGAGACGAGAAAGAGAGAGAGAGAGAGGACTCGTGCGAGGGTGTCGGAACGTAGAGGAGGCTCGGGTCGAGAGGAGGGCTGGACAGCCTCCGATAAAGGGTCGTACACCCCGAGCGGCACGCGTGGCCGCTGCTATCCCCGTGTATCTGATTTGACGAGCTCTCTCTCTCTCTCTCTCTCTCTCTCTCTCTCTCTCTCTCTCTCTCTCTCTGTCCTTCCTTCCCTCTTTCCCCAACTACGAATCGAATGTTTACGAGTGACATCGCCATGGTAATGCGTTTCGACGTAAATTCGCAAAATCTCGAATCGGCCGAAGCGAATAAAATTGGCAAAACGCGGCCGTTGCTGAACATTGTGACACACCCCCGGCGAGCGACGATAAATTGGCTTTTGTTGAAAATTCGGGAAATAGCGTCGTTTCCACGGGGAGAACAATACGCGCGGCAATTTACGTTATTGAAACGCAAGGTCGCCCTTTAATTCGCCAATTTTTACGTTCACATTCTTCTCCCTGGCAGCGGCCGCGTGCAAACGTTCGCATGCGAGCGTCCATCATTTTTTTATAGGACGTGTACGTAACGTTTTCCGAGTATAAATCGACGTATTACGGTACAAACGGTACGGGCGAACACGCGGCGCGCGTTTTCATGAATATGAATCGTGACGCCGAAAAGGGGCAAGAAAAAAATAATAAAATACATCGAATGTATCGTGATGCACGTTCCGTTTCGTAATTGATGGGTCCATCCTCCGTTGTCGCATAGATTCGGTGAAACGGAACACGTTCGCGTGCTCGCGTTAATTTAATCTCGTTGAAAGAAATTTCTTTTCCACATCGACGCTTCGGCGATATCCGCTGGCGGCTCCAAACGCGACGACGCTCGTACGTATGATCGTATTATCGTATTAGTCGACGCTCTTGTTTACCGGCTCCTTTCTTTCTTTCGTTCCCTGGCTGACAGATAATAAAAATCGAGAACGACCGCTCGTAACTATCTAAAATGCGTTAGGAAGCTAGAAACGGCTACATCAAGTGCCAAGGGGAGAACACGATAATTCCGTTCTATTACTCGACACCGAAAATATACGATCTGGCGGGACGTGGTTGAAAATCAACGGGAATTCAAATGGCGGATAATAAATACGAGAACCATCATGAAAAACCAATGGCATAACCAGCGCCACGACAATCAATATTTTCGGAATATTCATGCGAACAGCAGAGATGATACATGCATATATGTACAATCCCGAAATCAAATAGAGAGACAGGCGTTGGTTCGAAGGATATTAAATTTTCAAAAATTGCTCCTCTACAACAACAAAAAAAA